AGAGTTCTCAGTGATCCAGGCTCCCAACCCCTATAGCCAAGACAGAAGGAAGCCTAGCTACTGCTCCAACTGGCAGCAGACCTTGGCATCATCCCCATGGCATTAGTTTTAGGTGCATGCAGAATAGAAAAGCTATGAGGTTAGGAAGGAGTCCACCCAGGTTTCAGAAGGCCTGAAAAGGAGAGGCCAGTGTGTGAAGTTATGAGTGTGAAACTAAAGGTGCAGGGGACACCCCAGAAGTTTGGAAAAGCCAGGAATGTGGATCATCTAAGGAAAACTGCAAAGAGGGAGCAAATAAGGCCCAAGAACGAAGGCATGGGAGCTCCAACCACCAGCAGTGTCATGGGGCAGAGACACCTAAACCCTCTGCAGTTTATACCTCGCTACATATTGCCTTGGATGCTGCACATGGAGCTAAAGGATTTACTGTTTGCCTGCTGTATTTTGGACTTACTTTGATCCCATTTTTTTGGTATCTTCCTATTTGTACCTTTTGGAATGGTAATGTTTACCTTGTGCCATTGTATGTTAGAAGTGTTTAACTTTCTTTTCATTTGTACAGGGGCTCACAGCTAAGAGTTGCCTTAAATCTGGGAGGAGACTTTGGAGTTTTCAGCAATGCTGAAACTGTTAGGGCTTTGGCAACTCTTGGAGATGGGACTAAATGCCTTTTGTGTAAAGGACTGTACATCCGCATCTTTGGGGAGATCAGGGGCAGAATGTTATGGTTTGTGTCTAGATGTCTCCCCAAAGCCTCATGTGGTTTCAGATGGGGTTTTTTGGAGGTGGCTAAATCTAGAGTGTATGATTGATTTATAGTGCAATGGACTAGGGTGGGTGACGGCTAGACCAGTCCACTGATTGGATTGGTACTACCCTAATCCTGGTAGACTGGATACAATGCAAAGGACAGAAAGAGGCTTGTCTCTTTTTCCCTTGCTTGTTTTTGCTGCCTTCTGCCACCATGAACTGTTTCTCTTCTGGGATAGCCTTCTGTTAAGCCACCCTCCCTTGGACCTTGCCAATTATGGACTAAGTCTCTACAAACTATGAGCTAAATAAACCTTTCACCCTTAAACTTTGGGTGTTGAGAATTTTGTCTCAGCAAGGAGATAAAAGTAACTATGACAGGACCTTTACGGGTAGTATCTCTTCCAAGTATCAACATTTTCCTATTTATGATTAGCACCGAGAATACAGTTTGAGAGAATTTTTTATTCCTCCCTTAAGAGGTCTAGCACAATTTTAGGGTTGGTCTTCTCTTGGTGTGGGGCTGCTGGTTTCCCAGAAATCACATGTATGGGTGCTAGTATCCTTGGTGATGCTATGTTGAGTGGGAGGATCTGTATCTATCTAAGGACATGGATCACACAAGACAATTTCCATAAGAGGAAGAAAAGAACTAGCTAGGACTCTAGAATTACCAAAAGCACTTCAGCTTTGCTCACTCTCGATAAACATCACCAGTGTTTACTATAGGTTAGGGAGGGGCTTACAATAATGAAATGAGGATAGTGGCAAAGAAAGTCAACATGAATATTTCAGCCCACATAAATTTTGGGGACAGGGTTCCCTGTGAGCTAGTCCTGAGTCAATTACCCATGTTATAGCAGATATCACGATATCACTGATGTTTCCAAATATTCAGAAAGCAAGGCTAGTGGCTGTCTGAGATCCTCTAAGGGCTACTGCTATGAAGACAGAAGCAGATCAAACTAGGGCAAACATTTGTTAATATTTTATGTATTGTCTTACACTGTCAATTTTTAGGGTTTGTTTTCTCAACTAAATTTTTATCATTTCTGCTCATCTGGCTTAATTTAAACATGACAGTTATTAATATACTAGCTAACTAATTAGAAAATCACAAACATATACCTTGGAAATGGATTTTCTTAAAAGATACAAAACTGATTGTCTAACAAACTTAGAAATTTCAAGGCTTCTTCCTAGTATCTCTGATACACCAAGCAGAAATTATTATGGGAGATCACTGTAGATGTAGCATTTTGCAAATTTCAGCATTTGTTCTCCTCAGGCGTTACAGGGATCACTTCATACTTCTGGACTAGTGGGTATAGTATAAAAATAAGACACGTGCTCCTTTTAAATCTTTCGGTAAAAACTAAAAATGGGGGGTTAACTCACTCTTCTAGGAGTAACTAAAAATTATGGGTCTGTGATGACGACAGAGGCCCAAGGAGAATCTCTAGAAAAAATGAGTCCATTCTATTATATAGCACTTATTTCTAGTTATATCTGAGTTACAAACAGTATAATATGTAGATAAAGACCTGCTTCCTATTAAGAAGACAAGGGGAACTGTCTTTTATAATCTGAGGAACATGGGCCACTTTGATCCTGAAAAACAGTCTGACATCAACATTCTAATCAGAATTACACCAATACTGATGAACTCGTTACCTCTATGCTCAATGTTTTCATTGCAGTTTTGTTCATTATTATCCTCTTATTAGTGTTATTGCACTCAATTACGTTCATTTATACTTCTAGGATTTACTTCACTGACGTGTTTTAATGTCCATGTTAAACTCTGCCACCTGGAGCTTTTGCCATGCTCGTCTTTCCCCTGTTGTCATCATTTCCGCCAAGTTTGCACTGTGCAGAGCTCAAGCTGGGAGGTAGACAGTCTTGGGGAACAAGAAGGGAGGAGGGTGCAGGGAGTGAGGCAAGAAAGAGACATGAATGGAAAAGAGCAGACTGCAGCTCTTCTGCAGTCCTGCTTCCTCTATCTTGAGGATAGAGGAAGGATATCTATCTCTGCAGACCTCTATCTTGAAGGAGAAGGAAGTCTCAGGGAAGACGAGCACCCGCACAGGACCTGGGGCAACTGAGCTGCCCCCAGGGTGACATTGGAGAAATTGCCTCGGGGGTGGCTGGATTATTACCACACAAATTCCTTGGCAATATAGATAGGACTTTTGGGTAGTTTTCAAATTAAAATGTTTTTCCTTCTTAACTCCCATGCATCTCCACAGAATGCAGGGGGAGGGCAGGTCCTGAGGCTAAAAACAACGTTCCTAGTAGTGGTAGAGGAGTAATTAATAATAACAGTATTACTGTGTTGGCATTTGCACAGATGGTGTGACAGTAAAGGTGAATGAAACTGCTGTCATGTTACCAAGGCATCCAGGAAGGTTCACCAAACTACTAGTAACCACTGTCATTTTAATTACCACATACTTGCAAAAATTGGCCAGTTTTGAGTGATGAATAAATACTACTTTATTAAATCTCAACACTTGATTACTTTTTGAAATCCTCTGTGATCAAATGTAGAGTGTACCGAAAGCTGGAAAAGATGCACCTGTCTGAGGATGGAACTGAACTATTCTCTTTTCCAAGGAATGCTGCTTTCACTTGAAAGAATGACCAACACTGCAGCTTACAGACTGGTTATCTGGCAGATACTTTCTCAAAAATGAGTTAAGTGAGTCTTCAATGAGAACAACTGACTGTTTTGTGGCTAAAGATAAAATTTGTACTTTAAACTGAAATCTCAAATTCTTGAAAATGTGCATCTGTCACTGTGAACTTGACAGCTTCCCAATACCTAAAAAGCTTTTTGAGGAAAATGCTGTTGATATTAACGAACGTGAATTTCCTGATATTCTACTTTGACATGTGTCAATCTTTGGGAGAGCTGCATAATTGATACTTTAAAAAATAAACAATGCATGTCAGTACAAATCATGCATGGGTAAAACACACTCAATGTACTATCGAGACCAACAGAAATGGACATAACAGCATAAAAAGTTAAATGAGATAATTTCAGATGCCACATTAAAATGAGTCTTTGGTTAAAAAAAAACAAAACAACTACTACCTATAAACTTTCCTCATAGTGCTAAAGAAGGAAATTCACAAACACATGAAAGATTATTAAAAACTCATTCCACTGCCAACCACATATCTCTATGAGACCAGATTTTCTTCTCATCTATTTTAAGCAAAGCAACGTATTGCAACACATATAATGTAAAAGCACCCATTAAGCTAGACAGGGCAAATATTTGTAAAATTAGGAGAACAATGCCATTATTCTTACCAAAATTGTTCTGAAAGTTATTTCTCAAAAAAATACTACTTCACTCTCCCCTTATCTATGATTTTACTTTTTCTAGAATCAGTTATCTGCAGTCGAAAATGTTATTTTTCTTCACTCTTTCAAGAAAGAGCACAACTGTAGTCACATAAATTTGACTAGGTTCATAAATTTTTACTAACAAATAATGCTCTTTTGTTACTAGTTATGGTTATTAAACTGTGTCTAACTTATAAATTGATCATTGGTATGTGTAGGAAAAAATAATATGTACACGGGTTATTTACAATGTGGTTTCAGGTGGCCATTGAGGATCTTGCAATGTATCCTCCATAAAAAAGGTACGACTACTCTGTACATAAAATGCATAGAAGATATGTAAAACAAAAATATAAAATATAAAAATAAAATTTTATTGTTAAAAACAAATATTTTTGTAATTCCAAGTAACGAGTGACCAAGTTAATTAATAAATCAATTAAATTATGAATTATTGTTTACTAATACAATCTAAAATAAATAAAAGGTCTTTAGAGGTCTCAATTTTAGCAAGGAACAGGGTTCAAACTTGTGCTGGGATAGAAAATTTCAGAGCTTTTGCTCTCCACTGACGAGTAACTCTTGGAACGCAGAAACTCTCTGAGCATTTTTCCCAGATTATAGATCTCATGAGATGATTCAAAGGAGAAGGGCTTCCATTTTGGAGGAAGTTTGGAAAATGTGGAGAATCCTGGCATTCTTAAAGAGCTACAATCCCTATTAGCGTCATCGGGCGTGGAGGGGCAGGGAACTCCTACTGTCCTGGTCTTGTTTCATGCTATCTAACCTGATGTTTCCTTTTGCTATATCAGGGGGTGTGTGAGTCCGGAACGTGTTGGGCACGGGGCCATGCAGAAGGGTGTGAGCTCACTGGAAAATCACCACAACTCACCTTCAAGGCGGACCACCAGGGGCACTTTCAGTTCTAGTTCCCGGCAGGCTTTGGTGATTCCATTGGCAATGATGGCGCAGTTGACGATACCACCGAAAATATTGACTAAGATGGCTTCAACCTGAAGTGAAAAATGGGAAGGTGCCCGTCAAAATGCTGTCAACAGTCTCAAAAAAAAAAAAAGACCTGGCTAAATAAGAGAGGCAATTAAAATAAGAGTTTTTTGCTTTGTTTTTCATAGGACATAAAGTATAAAAAGGGCCAGAATATGTTAAGAAAGTTACATTTAATAATGAATAAATAACAATATGCAGCATTACTATATAAGCCCATATTGTCCCATCAACGATTCCTTTGAATTCAAAATGAATTCTGTCACCATTCATTTGTTTGTTTATTACATATGGTCTTCTGAGTTATCTGCATACTGTTATCTGGAACTGATTTTTAATAATGTCAATTAAAATTTCAAGCACTTGTATTTCTTTTCTCCATGATGTACATCAAGATATTTTTATCATTTATGGTGCTTCATCCAATAATCAAAACCATGAACTTACTATTTATTTTATGATATTAATATGTAAATATTCCACAACTTTTCCATGCTTCTGTAATAGCTCTTTAATATGTTAGGGGCACATTCTCAAAAATCAAGTGCAATTATTTTATATGGCAATCTTTTTGATTAAGAAAAAACACACCCCAAAATAAAAAGACACAAGTTCATAACACAAGTATGATATAAAGTCAAGACACTGAATGAAATTTTTCAGAAATGAATTTAAACTTCTCAAGTTAACTTGTTTGTATATATTCCATATTCAAAGGCATGTAGGCCAAGGAAAAAATTGTACTTGTCTTTACTTGAAAAATAGGCATAAGAAAATCCTGCATAATTAACATGAAGAACGAGATAATGAAGAGAATTCATTACCTAGATTAATTGATAACACCCACAGAAAATAGTTATTCATCAAGCTTGAGGCATCAAAATTGCAACAATGGAGTCACAATTAAACTATGCTACGCTAATTGGAAAGCATGTATGTGTGTGCTGCACGCCATTTTTAGACCCTGTTATTTCAGTATGTTAAATTAACGGCACACAACACATGAAAAAAGAAGACCGTTCATTTGTACAGCACTTAACTGTTTGGAAAGTGTCATTATATGAATCCTCATCTTTGCGTTTGGCTCCATCCGGAACTCTGCTCACTCAGGACTGCGAGGCCTGGTCCTCTGGAGCTCAAGAACCCCTTGGGAGTATTCAAGGTCATAAGGTAATATGCAGCCTGGTGAGGCTCAAAGTCAGCTCTCTAGATTGCCTAAAGATCGTTCATTTATGCCTGTGGCAGGAGCTGGGGCCCTGGGCAAGTTATATAACCTTTACTGGATGTGGTTTTCTCCTCTGTAGAATAACAGTTCTTAGCCCATAAGATTGTTGAAAGGTCTAAATAGGGCGATACATGTGGAATGTTTAGCACACAGCTTTAAATGCGCTTAATGGATATTTACACATGACTTTCTTCAGTGAGCAGTGATCAAAGTGTGCGGGTTACCTAGAGAACAAGAAGAAAACCTTTTTCAGGAGACAGCAGCTCAGGAGAATCTGAATATCATGGGAATGCACACTTACTGAAGTCTAACGAAAAGGTAATAATCTAGGAATAAAATAAATGAACAATACTTTTCAAACCAATTACGAGTAGGAGCTACTCCCGAAGAAGAAATCTCCCATTACCATTCACAGCAGGCCCACTGGTAAGCAGAAGCTGGCTTTCTAATGACAGCTATTAAATGCTGTAAGTACTCAAGCTTGGTATAGCTGGTTTCCAAGTAACCGTGGGGTGGAGAGGAACTTGCCAAAACAATGGAAGCAACACTGACTCCACAGTAACAATGACTTCGTGGGGTCTGAGACAGAAGCTCAAGAATGCCCGGGCTCTCCGGTCTGTGCACGAGAATAAGCGTCCTCCGAAGCCCACCCCAGTCCCACCTACCTCTGCAATGAACAGACCACACGTGTTTTTCTTTTCCTTTGTGATGCCAGGGATTGAATCCAGGGCCTTTACACTAAGCTACATGTGCAGGTCTTTTACAAATATTTTTTGAGACGGGATCTTGCTAAGTCCCTAACTTGCCCAGGGTGGCCTCAAACTCATATTCTTCCTGCCTCAGCCTCCCTCAGTGGTGGGATTACAGGAGTAGACACCTTGCCTGGCTCCCAATCATATGTTAGGGATAAGTTCACATGTCAGCTTCTCATGGACATGCTCCGTCCGGCCCAGTTAGAGGGACTCACCCTAATCTACCTATAACTATGACTATTCTACAGTCAATACACCATAGGTGAACTTATGTGAACGTACCTAAGAAGGGAAAGATGAGGGATGAGCAGGAGGGAGATGCCTGTGACCTTGCGATTTAAATTCCACTGACTGGGCAAATTCCAAGGACTGAGGGTCAAAGGTGAGCTGTGAATCCGCTGCTGCCTCAATCTCCACGCGTCCCTTGCATACACAGATACTCTTCATGCTGCGACTTGCACCTGAAGAGAAGCCAACCATGCTTTGGTGCTGACTACAAAGATCTCAGGTGGAAGGAAGCTGCCAGGATGGAGAGGGAGATGTTCCCCAACTTAGTTTACTGAGGAACCAAACTAACGTTTGAATGGAAAAAGAACCAGAGATGATGCAGGTAAGACAGAGACAGAACAGGACAGGAGCTAGAGGCCGGAGATGGAGACTTGGCCCCTCTTCCTTATTCCTGTCATGTCCAGATCTGTAGAGGCGTGACTGGACAGCAGCTTCCCTCGGGGGCCCAGAGGGCACTGCAGGGCAGAGATGGAGAGAACAGGTGTGAGAGAGCAAGGCGAGGGGAAGCAAGAAGGAAGCAAAGAGAAAAGGAGCAGGAGTGGGTGTGGAGGGGAGGAGAGAGGGCGGGAGGGAGGGAGCCGGGGAACTGCCAGAGGAAGAGAAAAAGGCTGACCAAGACTGACTAATAGCAGCTGGGATTCCTACAAGAGCAGTGGGACCTAGGAGCACAGGGGCGGCCTGGCACAGGGAGGCGGCCCGACAAGACCCCCAGTGGAGTGGATCCCCTGGGGGGCCAGAGCCCATTCAAGCAGAGCTTCCACCATCCCTGCTGTCCCTCCCACAAGTCATTTGCTACAGTCAAGCACTTTAATGGAAATCTGATTTACGGTTTCACTCTGGGCCAATTTCTATAATTAACTACTATAATCCGCAATCTCAAACTGAGAATGAAATTAAGACAGTTTAAAAATGAACGCCTCGTGACATCATTATTATTATTTAGCATTTATAAAGCAAGTCAAGTTCTCAAAGTGTGCTGTGTGTTCATTCATTATACAACCACTAACTGCTGCTCCAAGAACAGCGTACCAAGAACAACTTTTAATTGTCTTTTTCTGCCCCTAGCAAAAGCTAGAGAATGTTAAAAAGAAAAGTCAGGGCCTCGCTGTAAATACCTCTGAGTAGCTCCCAGAAGATCCCTAGCTACTTGTTGGAACAGAGCCTCTTCAAGTTCTTGGTTGAGAATTAGGAGGGTTGCTATTTACTGTTTCACAAAAGTAAACCATCTACTGAGGAGGTGAAGGTGCCAGATTCAGGGCGGAGTCCCCGGTCCCAGGCAGCTGCTCTCCTGTTGAGTGTGTGGCATTCCTGGCAGGACGCAGGCAGCCGGGTGCTCTAAAGTCCGATTTCTCGAGTGTCTGCATTTGGCTTTGCAAAACACACTCTGGGGGTAGATTTCGGCCCACAATGAAAAGTAAAGAATGAACTTAAAAAAGAGGAAAAACTACAGTGTTTGCTTTTTATCAAACTCCTCTCAACCTGAACTAAACAACAAAAAATCAATACTAAAACTCTTTGGTGGGAACACAGATCCTTTCACGGACCAGATAAACATAAAAAGAGTCTTTGGTCAAGAGGAATTCATGTGCAAAGTGCTGTGTGCTGCTCCTATGGAAGCGGACTCAAAGGCAAATACTGCTAAGTGGGAACGGCACATGCACATAGAGTAGGGGTGTGGCTTTCAAGAAAACTATGAGTCCTCTGCAAAAATCTGTAACATTCTGTGTGAATGTGCACCAGTCTGGGAAGTAGTCATAACCGGGAAGTGCTATATTCATAATCACAAAGCCACAATTGCTACATTTACTGAGCATCTAGCAAGTGGCATGCAGCATTCTAATTATGCTACATTTACATATAAATATCATATGAGGTAGGTGTCATTTTTTTTTCTTTAGTTTTTTGAAATGGGGTCTTGCTATGTAGTTCAGGATGGCCTTGAACTCACTATGCAGCCCACACTGGCCTCAAACTCATGGTGATCTTCCTGCCTCAGCGCTGGGATTACAGGCGTGTCCCACCTCATCTGCTTGAGGCAGGTGTAATTTCCACATCCAACTTATAGATAAAGAAACTGAAGGTACTGGGAACCGGTGGAACTATACCTTACCTCCTATCAAGCTTACGAGGCCCTACAATGTATTTTCTCATTTACTATGCAGCCCATCCACCCACAAACATGTACAACAGATAGCACTTCGGCCGTGGTGGCAAACCTAGGGCATGCATGTTTTTCTTTTAAGACAAAAGATATTAAATGTCTGAGTTGTTTTTTCTAAACTAAAACCTCAGTATTCAGGTTTAATTGTGGTGTTGGCACTTTGCTATAAATAAGTGGGCTTGGGGTTGCAGTTTGGGCACTTGTCTCTAAAAGGTTTGCTATCACTGACTCCTAGCCCATTTTACAGATGAGAAAATGGAGACTGGTAGAGGTTAAAAAAAACAACTTGTGCTGAATTATGCAGATAGTTTGTTTTCAGGCTCAGAAAACTCATTTCTTTTTAATTTAATATTGTCTTGAATTTTTATTAAATACAAATGTTGCCAGATTGTGAATTAAAAAGTGAGTTGTTACTGGGTATGGTAGTGCACACCTGTTGTTGGCCTGCTGTGTGTGGGGTATTTTCACAGGTGAGGTCCCAAGGTTAAAGAATGCACGTGTGCAAGACATCAGCAACAGCAGGCAGCATGGAGCACAGCACAGAGTGCAAGAGAGCCGCCTGTGTCTTTACTGTATAATGCT